CCTGATAAATAACTGGGGGCGGGTTCTTAATTATAGGTCAACATTAAAGACCGCAACCCCCCCCCCCCCCGGCGCCTGTCTTGCAACCATCTCAGGGCTCAAATACCCTGCAGTCCCGACCTAAGCCGCTAAAACGCGATCCGGGGGCGCGGTTTTTCCAGCCCACCAAAAGCAGGTAGCTGAGAGCCCTCGGATATAGGTAAACCATGGCTATAACTTTAACTGGTGTAACTGGGGTGAGTCCCCATATAACCATGGTGAAGTAACCTACTCACCTGACGTTGGTTGAACACCCATGGAGGGAAGGCCGTCCTGGCGCAATGGAACAAAGCAAGCGGATTTGATCAGCACGTGTTATAAGGGTTGCGTTGGCTCCTCGGAGCAACCTCTCACGAGTCGCCTGGATTCATGGCCAACGTGTTCAAACCTAATATGACATGCCGGCTGAATTATCATGAAATTACACTTGAGCATTTGGACCACAACTTGCGCCCAAGAGCCAGAGCCACCCAATTCCCAATTGATGGCGAATCTTGGCAACACCCGCCACCACTCTTTCCAAGGCCACAGCCTTCATTGTTTATCGATAAAGAACGCTGCCTGCTTGCTTTCAACATGTTCGCCACTTCAAACCCCCTGAACAGAATGGAGCAAACAAAGCAGGAGGGCAAAACGAGGTTGAGATACCCTAGATCGATCAATTCGGAGCCAATGCGCCCGGACCGGAGAACAATGGGAGTGGTGTTCAACAGACAAGGGGGGGTGGTAGAAAAAGGGTACCTGCATTCGAGGCGACCCCAGATTCAATGAGCAAATAAAGGATCCCCACTCTTCAACTGGATTGTTCATGTGAGGTTTCGCTGCGAGCGGCCTAATATACGCGCCTAATATGAGTGCCTAAGCAATTAGACTGCAATGGGGGGGAGGCGCTTGAAAACAAGTTCTAGTCATGATCGAAGGAGGATAATGTGGGTGCGTGTGCAAGTTTGTTTAGCCACAGGTGTATAATATAGGGCGCTGCACCATATACGTATGTAGTATTCTGGTGGTGTACATGACGGGCACGTCAGTTTTCCCTTCACCCAACTTCACACCGGTGACCCCATAGGGCCGGCACGAATGAGGTAAAAAGGGCGGAGTGCGTCAGATTGTCCTGCGAAGCTCACGAGATTCTGGCTCCTTAGCCCGCCCAATCGCTCACATCCTCAGCCAAACTGTCTGCCGCTAAAATGGGCTTCCCGAAAGGATCAAGGAGGCTAACCCTAGTGACACCAGCTACCGGGGTTACAACGGCTTTCCTTTTCCCGGCTGTCCTCAGATCCACTAAAAGTTTAACTTTTAGTGGGTTGAATGGACAACCCCACTAAAGACTAAAAAGCCAAAAAGAAAACAATTCAAGCGGGTACTGGTTTTGGCTCTGAACAAAAGGCCACCTTAAAAACTTACAAAATCAAGGTGCTCAACACGTTCTTGCCTTGAACCAATCCAAAGGGATCTTTGACCAAATCAATGCCCAGATCTCAATTGCCACCATACCCGGTGGGTCCCGTTACCACTGGCAGATAACGCAGCCTGTTCAAGATCTCCTGTTCAAGAAAGAAACGACTAAATGCAAGAACATGTGATGTCTGCGTCAGCAAACAGCGGTACCCATCCGGATCACTTTTGGGGGTGCTCCATTTCTCAATCTGCCTGGTTGACTGATCGATCAGCATGAGGCCGCCTCACCGCTCGGTCCCATCTGCCAAAGACTAGCCATTTGACGCAGACGGAGTCCTTTGACAAGCCGAAGTCTGTCAGGCGAATGTGCCCTTCCTCGGCGAAGAATGGGTAGCGCAAACTAGGATAATTGGTTTACTGAGTCCCTAAAGGGGGGGCGTCTGGAGGGGGCACGGGGCCCCCTGTGGGGGGGGGGGGGGCCGTTTGGAGGGGGCAGGGGGCCTTTAAGGAACTCTAAGGAAGCCTAGGATCCCCAAATAAAAAACCATACTACCTGGCGTTGCTTGAACACCCAAGAAACCCCTTTCAGGTAAGCCTGTGAAAGCCTGCCCGGGGTACGGACAAACTTTAAAAGAGCTAGATAAGCGGCCCATTTTTTCCGGGGGGTGGGGGGGGAGCGTACCGATGGGAATTGTACTTTGCACAAATAGTTTGTAAGCCAAGAGGAAACCACTCACTTGAACCGCTAATTTGAGACAATGCGACCATGTCTCGATGGCTTTCAATGCAAACAGGGACACCTCAAACGCGACAAAACAAATGGAAAGAAGGTTCTACAACTGCAAGTGGGGTTGATTTCGGATCATTCTTTTCAACCATATATTGCTCTTTTGAACAACCCCGGCTCTCCGTAGTTGCTGGTGGTCTGGAAGGAAGGAGCCTTGAATAAGATAGATAACTTTCCCTAAAGAGGGGGGCAGCTTCCATCACGCTGCTGGTAGCAAATGGGATATACAAGCTTGCCTGTGAACAAATGCTCAAGATACAAGCGGGTGGGCGTGCTAAACGGACACCAACCCGAAGCCAGTTTCAGCCAACGGTGTCGTGGCTTCGATCAGCGGTTTAACGGTTACGGTGCGCTTCTCTTGCGGTTTAATCGAGCCGGGGAATCAAATCCCCGACCAGCGTTGGAAGTGGCAGGCAGCTTTTTGTTTAGCTCACTCCAGACTTTATACTGTTTGGGAATTGTAGTTAAACACAAAGTTTGAACTTTCTTGGCCACCCGGGAAGTGAGGGAATAGCTTTTCTTGACCTGTTGTTCATTTCCCAACCTGCAGAGACGTTTCTTGGCTTCACCCAAGTGGTCAGTTGACCTCACTTTCATGGGTTTGGAAGGCCGTCTAAAGCGGTGAAGGACAGCTGATGGTCATGTGTTCAATCGAATTGATTGCCGTGGAGTCAAACTTGGGTGTGCCTTTTTGTGTGCTGCTAATTCCCCCATCTTTGTGGTTATTAGAGGGACCCCAAAAAAGAAGACACACTTATTCAGGTCAGGCATCCCAAGCGGGCCAAGGACTCCCTGGACTCCACATTTTTAGGGGTCACCACCCCTACCGGACAGCTGAAAGCTACACCCGAACAAGCTCTGGCCGTGGTTCTTCGCAGTCAGGGAGGGTTCCGGACCCCACAGGCTTCGGGGAAGGGTCGATCACCATCCCGCCAAGCCCAGGAATGTCGAATGACCAATGCACATTAGGAGGACCCCTGTGCAGATTCCATGTTGGTTTTGGGTGGTTCTCTCCTTGGCTTCCTTCAGCAATCCTGACCAAGGGCTCCAAACAAAACACACACACACACACGGCGTTTTTCGGGGCCCGCCATACGAATCGAAGGGTCGTTGTCCAGTAAGCAGTTCTCCGGCTTCAGGTCGCGGTAGAGCACCTGCCGGGGGTTTGCTCAACTTCCACCGATCGAGTGGATTGTAGCCAAAACAGCCTATTCTGGGGGGATTGACCTCATCCTGAGGCCTAAGGACTTATATTTGGGGGCTTCCGTTTGCTCATTATAAGCAGCCCTCAACTTCCATTTGCTTACCCTCCACGGGTCCTGGAATACTATGTTTCTTTAAAAGGGACCCTTTGACGGGTTCCATGCTAGGCCCCTGGGAACGTTTCCAATATGATAGATCCCCTTCAAAGTCAGCAACACAAAACATCTGAGCGAACATGGAAGATAACAGGGTGCCTTAAAACACACAGAAGCCCCATGTCCAATTCCCACGAGTGTCCTTCACTATCTCTCTCTCTCTCTCTCTGTTTAGCTACACATACAAGTATTTGTATGTATGCGAGCGGCGGCAGTTATTTGCTACATAACTGGCCTCTTGTCTAGCTCTCCCAAAGTTTGTCCGTACCCTGGTAAGGCTTTCACTGGCTTACCTTAAAGGGGTTACTTGGGTGTTCAACCAACGCCAGGTAGGTTACCATGGTTTGATTTGATCACCCCAGTTACACCACTTATCATACTGAAGTAATCTACTTCCCATCCAAAGAAAACAAAAAAGCGATCGACGATCGCCTGCTGTGAGTGAAGGTACTCCAGGCCGAGCAGGATCTCGCAGAAGTAGAACTTGCCGTCGGCCTCCTCCAGCGTTGTTCGTAAAATCGGGGAGGCTCCCGTGAGACACCACAAGGAAAACCATATGAGCAAGCTAGTGAACGAGCGAGCCAGTGCTCATATGAGTGTGTATTTTGAGAAATTCCTTTTCGGGGTCCGTTTAAAGGCGAAAACCGAAGGACATCCACCGTGCTTTCCTGGGAAAAAGTCCCTTCTTGCCACATTCTCATATACTTCCAGCGCCTTTGAGCAAGTGAGATGCTCGCAGGGTTGAGTGTGTTGTTTCAATGAACCCAGCAAGCTTACTCGGATGGCCACCAATCACTTGGCAAAGCATCCACCCTGACCTTTTGTCCAAGCGAGCAGTGCGCAAAACCCATTGTAAAGGTTGGACCACAAAGAAAGAAAATATACAACTTAGTAAAATTATTTGTGCTTTCGCTGTGCAACCTATTGGAGCCAACCGGACACTGAACCGCAGGGTGCAAACCTCTGTTTAAACATGCTTAGACACCCCTCCCCGTTGTTTAAGCAACCTCCTTTTGGCTTCACTTTGAGGAATTGGACCAGGGTCCAATTGTAAAAGTCTATATTGCCCCACCCTACACTTCAGTCCAGGAACTCCCAAGAACTAAGGGTCCAAGAACTTTGTGGCTCACTTCCTGATAAATTCGTCAGACAACGTGCAAATACGTTCTATTTTCTGCTAACATGGTCTTCTCAAAAAGATATCAAGCCCCGCTGTCATGCTCCCTATGCTCTCCAAGCCAGTGCAAGGAAAGGTACGAACGCCACAAGAAAATTGCATGTCATAAAAAGGAACAAAACCCTGGTGAATACCCATTTGGTTATAAATCATTGAAGTTGAAGCAAGCTAAATCCCATCGAAGAATATGGGCGCGTCTTTTTTTTTTAAGGGCACCCTTTTCTGGTGGTATTACAGGAAAACCACGAGAAAACACCATTCTTGGGGGCCCTCCAAGGACCGCGCAGTGTTCTATTGGTAACCAGAAGCACTGAGTTTTTTTGTGCGGAACCCATGAGAACCACAGCGGAACGAGTGCGGAAAAGCTGGGGAGATGGATGAGCAGAATGAAGCTTCCCAATCGTATGCGTCACCATGGGACCTCCAAGTGGTGACTGCCCGTTCGGCTTTCCTGGAAACCGAGCAAAAACACCACCCACGTGCCCATCCACCCACCCACCCACCCACCCACATACACACATGCGGCCCCTCTGGCATCCTCAAAGCGACCTCTCTGCAGCATGTGGAAAAAGAGCTCTCCGCCGCCACAAAAGTCCAAGACCTCGCAGGTGAAATCATCAAAACTCGGTGTCTTCTTTTAGAGGAGCCCCTCCCCCCAAAATATACATATATATAATATATATATATACATATGGTGATTTCCGTTTGGCTTTCCTTTAACACAGACCAAACAGGGGTGCCCTCAAAAAAAGACACACTCATTTAGATTTTGTTGATTTGTTTGTTTGTTGCTCGATTCCTGTCCCTGTATTGGTGTTTGCGAAGCTATCCCTTTAAGCTATCCCTTTAAGCTATCCCTTTAAGCTATCCCTTTAAGCTATCCCTTTGGCATGGTCTATCCTGTTCGCCCCGCAAGTGACTCGAAGTTTGTTCAAGGTTGCAAGTCAACAACTCAATGGACTAGAATTCATGTCCAACAGCCACCTGTGATGTGGTTCCCCATTCAATATCATAGCCAATACCAACATGAGTCATTCCCATGACCAGTGTATCTATCACTTTGAGGGGATTTCTTGGTTTCACAGAAATCGGCCCTAAAACCATATTTTCCACAACCATGAATCGAGGAGGCGGGAGAGATGCGTATGTGTTTGAGGGTACTCTTCTTTGAGCTGTTTTAAAGGGGAACCACAGGGACACTGCCTTTACTTTGTTTATCTTGCGTTTCGTTTTGTTGGGGAGGGATTCCGTAATTGGAGACAAACACATATGAATCAAGAGCACAAAGTGTTGGCTGCCAATTTGACCCAAAAATCTGGAGGGAGCCTAGATGAGCCTAGTTTTGACGCGTTCCCATTGCTTCAGCCGCCACACCAGCTGCAGTGGCCTTGGCCTTATCTTGTCGCTTGTCGAAAAACCCTGTCCACTGGATGCCGACCACTGCGCTACAGTATAGGGTACAGCAAATAGGGTTTTGTCATTTGATTGTTTTGAACGGCGGTTCCCTTGGTTACATACTTAAATGGATTCGATGGGTTTGGTTTCAGGTGCGGTGCCCCATAAGTCTGGGACAGGCGCGTGCGAGAGAGCGGTATTGTCGGACCTCTGCTCCAGCTTTTTCTCAAGGATCTGCCAAGGGGCGAGGAAAAGGTGGGTGGTAGTCTGGAACGCCCAGTGCAAGGACACCACGAAGGGATGCCTCGGCCAGCTGGCCAGGTGGGGGCGGGGGGCAGGGCAGGTTCACATTTTTTTAGAAACTCCATGTATCTTGGGTTCTACAAATCTAAAGTTGGGGTTGATGCCCCATTCTGTTCAGCCACCGTGCTTCTCAACAAAAAGCACCTGTTTCCCTCATCTGGAAAGCATACCCTTCTTATGTCATTCAAGATCGCCAACACCGGGCCTTTTGCCCAATACCCTGACAGTTCCCTGAGAAACAAAGAGTAAAGCAATCCCCAAGCAACCTGAGACCCAAACAGCTCCCACAGATTCATCAACGGGGCGTCTTGGGTTCCATCTTACTCAGGGGCGCCAAATTCCTGGGCCCGGTGTCCTCTCGAACACACACATGGCAACATCCTCCTGTCTCTTTTTTGGGGTGGAGAAACAGGGATCCGGATGCATTATGCACCTGAACATTGCAACTTGTAAATGGTGGTCTCCCCTTATTTTGGTGTTGAAAGAGCCATGTTTCAAATGGGTGGCAAAATGTGCCGTTTAAGGAGCCCTGAGAAACTGCAAGCAATACTCTGAACTCTGAACTGCAGGTAATACTCAAGGCAAAGTTGAACCCAGTGGTTTGAAGTATTTGGAGTTTGCTCACAAAACGGACTGCCCTCAAACAGGCTTCCCTGTAGTATAGGCCCCTTAGAACATCACTACCAAGGGAGACTCGCCATCAATTGAGGCTCAAAAGGCGGCTTAGCCACCCTTCAAGAAACAGACATATGTGGGTTGTCTTGTGTTTGAGGGTAGCCCTTCTGGTGGTTTTGAAGGGAAACCCAAAAAACAAACCATCAAAACCCATTTGGGGGCGTCCAACCTTAAAATGACAGCCATTCTCGCAGACACCGGCCCCTGTCGTCTGGTTTCCCCGTTCCAACCAGCGGTTTCAACCGCCGCAATCCTGGGGCCCGAACTGGAGCCGCGCGAGGATGCGCTTCTCCGTGATGACCTCAGTTCGAAGCCGCGCCTGCAGACCCGTGTTCGGTCTTTCATGGCTCGAGCCATGAAGAAAACTCATTTTGTGGGTGGTGGTTCCACGCTGAATCGCCCCCTCCATGGCTCGAGCCATGGTCAAAAGTGATGCGGGTGGTCATGTTTCCATGGTTTCTGAGTCCTCGTTGTCTACATTGCTGGGGTCCATGACCACCCCATTGCCAACCAAGTTGCTTGGGGTACCGTCCCTTACAAACCGAGAAGAGAAAGGGAATCACCTTTGGGGGCCACCAGAAATGAACGAGACAGGGGACCCAAAAGGTCGGATTAGGTCGATTCGCTTTGGGCGAGTGAGATTTGGTTTCAAAAAGAGCTGGGCCTGGGGTTTAAATCCCCAAGCCAATCCAAACCACCAAGAAAAGCCATGACGTTGGCCAGTCGCAAAACAAGACGTGGGTATGTGTCGACCCCAAACATGGAATTTGGCTTTCCTTTTGGTTTCGCTTTGAAACTAAAGTGAGACGGGTACGCGAGAAACCAAAGTAGAAATCCTTGGTCAGGTGGCTACGATTAGCCCACAAAGCAAATTTATGATCTATTTTGGCACACAAACGAACACATGTGTGCAACACCCGCCCGGAGACAATGATCAAACATATATATATATATATATGTATATAATATGTTAATAGCGAAATGTTGACCAAGAATTCGTTACTGGTAACTCTTGGTGTATGTTGATTGGGCGCGACCCATTTACAAGGGGATCCGGATCACTCTGCGGGGAAGCATGATTTGGCACCCCGGGCTTTCCAGGGCACGTGGACAATACTTCTTGCAACTTACTTGAGTAACCACTAGTAGTGATCACTTCTTCTGGATTCAAGTAAGTTACTACTACCCAAGGTCCAAGTTTTGTTTCTAGGGGCCCAGCCCGCTGCAGCCTCTGCTCCTGCTGGAAGAGACGCTCCTGAAAAGCTTTGAGCATCGGGCCCAGGAGATCAATCTCGGGCGAATCCGGATCACCGGATCCGGGGAAGAACCCAGCAGCTACACCCGAATTATTCCAGCTCGACAACATTACGAGTTCAGCAGCTATCCAGGTAGTCCATCAGCAAACCTGATGCCGCCACATGGTCTGCCTTGAACTTCCTGCCCTTTAGTATAGTATGAGTTTTCCCTTAGCGCTACTTTTTCTCCTAGGGCCTGGCTTTTCGCATCCTCAGCATCAGCCTCACTTGGACCCGGGGCCTAGCGTTGCCTGGTGGCTCTGATTGGGTGGCAGTTGGGAGTTGCTCACGGCTGCTTTCATTCTGGGTGGTTTTAGGCTGGCTTAGATCTTACTGCGTGTGGGTTTTAGGTTGGTTTGGGGTTCATTTAGGCTCAGCAAAGGGTTGACATCCAGCAGGCTGTTGGATGGGGTTAAGGCTGACTCTGGGTGGGTTTGGGGTTCTCGGAGCTGATTTGTGTTAGGTGTGCTGCTGGTTCAGCGGTGGCTTTAGGCTTGCTGTAGGGTGCGGTTACGTGAGTTCTTGGGCCTAGGCCAGCCCAAAGCTCACGTAACCACACCATACAGAAACCTCAAGCCACCGCTGAACCAACAGCACACCTAACACAAATCAGCTCCAAGAACCCCAAACCCACCCAAAGTCAGCCTGCACCCCACAGCAGCTGAGCCTAAATGAACCCGAACCAACCCAAGACCCATCCGAGGTAAGATCTAAGCCAGCCTGAAACCACCCAGAATGAAAGCAGCCCCGAGCAACTTGTCAGATCAGAGCCCACAAACAACCCGACGCAACCAACCAACCAACCGACCAACCGACCAACCCACTGACCCACCAACCGACCAACCAACCAGCCAGCGGAGCAAACACACAAAAACAAAACAAAAAATGGCCGGAGGAAAATAACAAAAAGAAAAAACATCTCATTCGCATACTCTGCATTTAAATAAAAACAAACGCATATATGTTGTCTTGGGGTACCCTTTGTGGGGTTGGTTTAAAAGGAAATCAAAGGGAAACCAACCATTTGGAGGGTCGAGGAACACCCCCCCCCACCAAGTACAAACAACGGGCGGCTTCTCATTGGTTTGGCTTCCAAAACCAGGAAGCGTTTTCAAACTTGGAGACGTTGCCTGGTGGATGGTCTCCTGGTGTTTCCCGAAGAAGACACACCTCCGATAGTTGCCTAGAGGGTCCCGTTTCCAAGTCATCTTTGCCAGGGTCCGAAACGAAGTCCCTGTGCTACCGCCCAACTGATGGTATCGGAACATCCTAGAGAGCCCACACCACAGTCTACTCTTGGGTAGAACTTAAGGGATCTCTTTGTCCCGAGGAAACCAATAGAATACCAGGCATGCGTAGAAGGCGTCCTATTCTCGGAAACGCCTATCCAATTTCATCTCCCGGAAGCATGTCTGATCCCTCAGCGACCTTCCCGCCTATTTAGAAGGCAGTTTTACTCAAATGAACACCAGCCTCTCTTGAAAAAACTTCTACACTGCCATGGGGGGGGCTTATTTGTTCAAACCGTGTACAAGGCAAATCGTGCCTTTTTTGATTGGCAAAGTTGTACCGCCCGAATACAACTTGCAGCCCGTTAACCGGGTCTGCAAGGGCTCACGCATCACCAACACTTTTAACTTTCCGGGGGTAAAAAAAACAAACAATCAAAAAACCACCAAAATTGGAATCTCAGGGAACCTTTGTGTTTTAGGGACATCCTTCTATGTTTCAACCAACAAAAAAGGGAGGGGGCCTTTTCCGGCTGCCAACTGATGGTCTGGACAAATCAAAGAATAACCCGTCTCCTTTTGGTTTCGGTTTGGACCATGGGCTATGATTCACACAGGAGAGTTTCTCAAGAAGCAAACCCATTTGGCCATTCGATCCATCACTCCCTTTCTCCTTGCTCATGACCTTCACCGCCCGGTAGTGGCCGCTGGGCTTGTGTCTGGCCTGCAAGGCTGGTGTATCGAGGGGAGAGCGTTGCTCAGAGAAAGATACTGTGGATGGACGAAATTCATTTCGCACCAACTGAGAGACCCTGGCTTCTGATGATTCCCCTGTAAATACCAATGTAAATACCAACAAACAATGGTTTCCCATGGTTTCCAAGTGGTGTAAAATGGAATTTGTCCATCCACAGTATGGCTATGAAATTCAGTAAGGCACACCCTCCTCGGTGAGTACATCCAAGGAGCCCCTAGTCTCATGGTCAAAATCGCGCTGTCAACCGCGGATGAATAATTAGGAGGTTGCCCCCTATTACAGCAATCAACCAGGGGTCCGTTAGTCCTGAATTCCCAGTTTAGGAGTCTACCCAAGACCATATGTGAAATTAAAACACCGGTGGATAAAACAATGTAATACAAAACAAGGGAGTGAAAGGAAAATAATATGTTTGGCCTGCCAAATGCTACTCACTTGAGCTGGCTGGTGCATGGACTCCCGTTTCGTTTGTAAAATAGATAGCCCCTGCTCATTGGCTCATGGAAAAACTCACCTCCTGAGTGGATTGGCCAAAACAAGTCGTAAAACTTTTAATTTACCAGAAACATGGTGTCCTGCGATCGCAACTCGGCTCGGAAAACCGCCTGCAGCACTCGGCCAGAGCCGCCAACCTGCGGGCGCGCTTGTTGCGCCGACTGCGCCGAGCTACGATGCAAACAATCATAGTAGGGCACTACCCAAAACTGGGACATCTAGCCCCTAGAGCCAAACAATGGGTGTATTTTGAATCCAACAACCATTCACACTGGAGGTTTTGGAACATTACTTTCGTTTTGGGAAACCCCTCCTTTTCCATTGGAGGCGTGTCACAAAGGATGATTCTCAAAGGAATCGGTTCCCAATTGGCTTTCTTTTGGCCTCCAGGTAACTACCAAAAGGGATTCACCATGTGAGACACAGTCCTTGGTTGGTCAAGACGAGGTCATGTTGCTCGGTGCTAAGAATGCGAAGGGCCAGGGTCACGCCTGGCGGTTTCCTCGTGGATCCCGGAGCCCTGTGCCCCTTGTCCCCTTTAAGGTTGGCCCCGGTTTAAAGAGGGTTAAGGGCTTCAACGGCAACCTAGAAATCCCCATTTTCCAGGTGTTGAACGTTGCCCTAGACCTTACCTACACCTAGCAGGCAGAAAAGCCCGCCGGCAAGCCGTCATTTTGAGATCTCTTCATTTGAGCCTTGCTTGTCCCTTGGAAATCTATCTCCATTTCGAAGAATCCCCAAGACGTTCCGAAGAAAAGAAGAAAAAAAGAGAGAGACCAAACACCTGGCACCAAGTTGAGGAATATCTGAGGCGACGGCGCCGACCACACGCACGATCTCAAAGTCCTCGAAGCCGGGAGATCTCTGGACTTCCTTTTCCCCCCCCCACTCTTTCTATAGCTCCTACGCCCATAGCCACGGCTCCCAAAACACGAACCTTCCTCACCATTGACTGTCGCCGATCTTTGCGACGTCGAGGGGACTTCAGCAGGGCCGAGAGCTCCGCTCGTGAGATTCCCATCCGATGTTTGAGGTTCAAAGGTGAGCCGCCGGCTTGCAGAAATGAACGTCATATTAAGGGGATCCTGTTGCTTTCCTGGGGGGATACATCATATTAAGGGGATCCTGTTGCGTTTTTGTCCTTCTTCTGGGGGGGATTAAGCATCACCTTTTAGTTGCTGATCTAGAGTGAGGCGTTCTTGGGGTGAAATTTGAAGGAAGGCATTTTGGGAGCTTCTTAAAATGGCGGACCCATTCAGGTGCTATTGAGAGGGAGACCAAACGGCAAGCAATCATTTTAGGGGACCCATACGTTGAGAACCTCATTTTCGCCTCACTGGGTTCTGCAGATGTCCTACCTTAAAACATCACAGGTCCGGTCCCACCAGAAAAGCAGGAAGCTGACCTAAAAAATGGCCCCCAAAAAGGTGATGTCCAAATCAAACCTTTGGCATTGATTCCATGTTTAGTGGGGAACCACCAAGCAAAAGGAGCTTCCAGTGTGGAATGCACCAAATTGGAATATGGACGTGGCTTTTTGTGAAGGTACCCTCCTGGTGCCTGATGTGAAGGGAAACTAAACCCAAACTAGGTCTTACAGCATAGTCAAATTGTGGAATCCACTGGAAAACTTGGAAACCAGACCTTGAGGGGGATGTCCATGGGAAAAGGGCACCCTAAAATGCCGGTCGGATTTACATGGGCAGGTGTTTCGGTGCACCAGGCGAACTCAGGAGAAGCCGTCTCCTCGATGGTGTGGCCGCGAGACACTTCAGTGAAGGCCCGGCCGGCTGGAGAGGACGCCTTGCGGCTAGGCGCGAGGCGCGCCAGGCGAAGGGCTGGTTGCAGCTGGGTCTGCTCAGAACAGGGGGCAACCCTGAACGCTTTTTGGATGGCTAAGGGAAACCAAAAGGACACTAACCTGGACAATTCCACAATCTTGAGCAGCACCCAGTCCTTTTTGAACCGGCCCTTTGCTTCTCCATTTCCTTCAAAACATAGCAAAGATACTTTGGCCAAAAATGTTCGAAGAACAAACCCTCGTACAATGCAAACACAAAAAGAAGCTGGTTCAACACTGGTTTAGACATGCTTGAATTGACCCAGCGACAGACCCAAATAGCAACAGCCAACAGCACAGCTGTTTTGAACTCCGCAAAAGATCCGGGACACAACCGGGACACCACTGGCAACCCACCAAAGACCACTTCCACCACTAAAACACCAGTGGACGCCTCCAAAACATGACAGCAGCAGAACACCGCCACCACCACTTAGAGGAAATATCCACTTTGTTGCGGGCAGCCTATAAGTTGTATAAGTTGTTCCAATCAGGACTACCATGACTGAGAACAAGAGACCTACGGTGGATTCCCTGAATCTTGCAAGTGAACCAACCACATCCACCCACAAAACCCGGTTAACCACTGTACGCCATACTGTGGATGCACAAAATCCTGCACCACTTGGAAACCATGTTCGTTGGTATTTATAGGGGCATCATCCCTCTAGGGCCTCTTGTTGGTGCAGGATTTCCTCCATCCACGGTAGGGCCCCTATCAATGCTTAGGGCCTACCCCCCCGCAACAAACTCCTTCTGTACTTCTGGCCTGCAAGCTCCGCGCGATGCCTTCGCTCTGCACCTGTTCAAGTCTCTGCGCCAAAATTGGGGGGTTGTGTTTTTTGGTACCCGTTTTGGGGTGGTTTAAAGGGAAACCCAAAGGCACATCACCAATTTGGAGGGTCCCTGTTGAAAAGGACACACGCACACCCACGCACGCTCGCACACTCACCCCAATCTCACCCCCCCCACCCCCCCCCCCACCCGCCCACCCGCCCACCTACCCACCCACCCACGCACCCACCCACCCACCACCCACCCACCCACCCACCCACCCACCCACCCACCCACCCACCCACCCACCCACCCACCCACCCACCCACCCACCCACCCACCCACCCACCCACCCACCCACCCACCCACCCACCCATACACACACACACACACACACACACACACACATACAGCCCCGCTTTCGATGCGCCTTTGCAACCGTTCAACTGCACGATGCAAACTCCAACTGGGGACCTGGTGAACGAAATGTACATATTTACGCCCACCAATTTGAAGGGTCCAGCGAAGCGTTTTTCTCATGTTGACCATGGTATGTCTCGCAAGAGGGTAACCAATGTAGTGAAAACCAGTGGCTAATGTCCACCAGGGGGGGGGAACCGGGCCAGACTTGAACCTGCAAAGACTTAAGTTGCAGATTGAAACAGGAAATGAGGAAATCAAACCTTGGTCGTTGTTCCACACAAAGCCTAGGGTTTAAAGCTTTTCTACCTATCATCAATTTAGCCAAGGGCAAATATGTAAGATGGTACGGGTAAGCCATGCCTGGCAATGGTAGCAGCACAACGTAAATCCGGTGATGATTAAAAAAAAAAAACGACTTCCTGGAGAAGCCAGGTTAGCCATTGAACCCCGCCCCCTTTTGCTGCATATGCTGGGCCCAAAATTGGAGCGAGCGTGTTTAAGAGGCGAAACGCGACGTGAGAGGCTTTTCTACGCAGGCCCTCCACAAGTATGTCTTCAAAGCGGCCGAAGTCGAGGCTGAGAAGGGGAAGCGGGTCTCAGCGGGGCATAACCTAGACTTCTCCCGACGCCTTTAGGCCGGGAACCCACAGAAACCCTAAGGCTACAGATCCTTCGACCCACAACCCAAGGGTTCCCACAACCTGGCTTCCATTTGATTCAACGATAGAGGACCGGCCATGCCCCAGACAGCACAGCTTGAGCAGAGCGCCCAAGAGCCCGTCATGCGAAGCTAACCGCCGCTGGAGTTCAAGTTCTTGGCAATCACTTTGCGATACAGCCTGCATTGCTCCTCGCACAGCGATTAGAATTGGGAAGCAATGACCATGTTCAGTGATTTCTAGACAGGCCAGTGGAGGTAACCAAACACGGTTCCCCTGGAATTGTTGTTGAAGCCCTCATTTAGTGACGGATTGTTTGCACATGTTGAGATCACCATACTGGGCTGCCCAAAAAGGATTGGCCAAGCCCTGACGTTCGTCATGCACCTTGCAGCTGTACTTTGAACATGGAAACCCCCAACTTTTTGCCCCCCCCCCCCCCCCACCACCCGGTTTGGTGTTCGGGGCTCGGACCTCGAATACCGCCTCAAAGCTTTCCCCATCCGCCAGCGCATCCTGAACACTGCTCTCGCACGCGGGCGCATGGCAAGAAAGGACTCCAACCAAGAGGGACCTTTCTCATCAGGGGCTGGCCGATGTCGGCAGTACTCTGAATGCCCTCTGAATGGGCAGGCAGCCCGAAGGGCAAACCCACACATCAAGATTTTCTTGGGGTACCCTCCTATCCAGTGCAACCGACAATTTTCGTTCAAAGGTACCCCTGGTGGGTTCCATGTTGGTGGAGGAGGGTATCTCATCTTTCCGCTTTCCGCTCCATGAGCGACTCTGGCCTGTGATATGCAAAACAAGTTGGTTCAAACGCCCTGCCAGCACCTGGAAGCAAAAGGTTCACCTTTTGGGACCTTGATCAACAATGGATCAAGGCAAACCCCAACAGAATCCAGAAGTTCAAAAGGTCGATTCGCTTTGCGGAACTCAGTAGTCTTAAATGGATTTGGGGGGGAAAAATCGCCAAGGGCATAAACCAAGCGCCCTCTGCACTCTCATAATCAATAACGGTCTAAGGGCGTGGAAGCTCCAAGAAAAAAATCCTCGGCGTGAACAAATCACCAGGGTCCACACCCAAACACCTCCAAGCACTGGCCTCCAGCAGCAAAGAGTAGTCCAGGATTAGCTCATCTGGCATCGAATCAGGCTGAGGGTTTAGGCTTCCAAAACAAACTTCGGATTTTTGGCTTTGAGAACTCACCTATGAGTGGGGGGCCCTTGGTCTTGTCACCAAACCGGGGGAACTAACGTAAAGGGTGGTCCCGTCCGATGTATCAGTTAGACACACCAAAAGGAAACCTCGCTTCCTGAGTGGATTGGCAGCTAAGCAATTGTTTAAAGTTTTGTTGCGCGCCACTAGAACGGTTTGTCTCGACCACAAAAAGTATTGTTGTCTTGATTGCCACCGAAATGGTCTTCCCAAAAGACCAACGGTTGTCTAGGTTGGTCTGCCCCAATAACAAAGACAAACTGAGGAAGTGAGAGCAAGCGAGCAAGCGAACAAGCGGGCAAGCCAGAAGCACACCTACGTCAAATCAACTCTAGCATAGGCCTTCAAATGTTGGCCATAGCAAATGACAGAAATTGGTGATGCCATGTTGGTCAGTTGGGCGCGTTGGCCATCTTGATCATTTCGGTCCGTGTGTGCGCTTCTGTGTTGGTGGTCATGGTCCTGTTTGGTCATTTTGGACAAGCAAGTGGTGCAAAATAATTGTGTCCACTGATTTTGCCAACTGATAGATATGGGAGCTGATGAACATTCCTGGCCCCTAAATGAGCATGGGTAACTTTTCCCATTTAGCGGGAAATATCATCTTTTGAGTGGCTCTCCCCAATGGTCATCCCATGCAAAGGACCTGTTGATCAACCCCAGACTTCCTTTAGATTCTAATTATTTGTATGTAGGCCAACCTTAGGTGGCAAGATGGTCCCATTGGCGGGCTGTGCGGCCTTCTCTTCTGACTTGCAAGCCTAAAAAAGATGATCAGACCACAAGTTTGATTTCTGTCTGGCTTCATTCTTTCCCTTAAGGTGCCAATATCTTGTGGCGGAATTGGTTGGTTCTCTTGCAGTTGGCCTCCTACCAAAGACTTCTTCGGGAGCAATGTGCGTGTGCGGAACATCCCTCTCTCTTAGGATCGACTAACCCATGTCCAATTGCTGTTCACATGGAAACCTTCTCCACTTCAGCCTTCAAAGTTCTCATTTGAATATTTGCTACTACCGCCAAGATCTGCACCAGAAGCTGTTTCGCTTAGGCTCACGCCAAAAGCTGCTTAACAACCCCTACGCCCTCCTACTCACTGACGAAGCGCTTGCGTCAGTGGTTCATGGCCCTTAGTGGTCCTCCAGGGCATGAGGGAATGAACCCTATAAACCATCCCATGTGGCTTCCTTTCAGGGCATTCCTTCATTCCCAAACCCTGGGTCATTCCCTGCTGAGCACCAGCAAGAATAGCCGCCCTTCTTGGCTGCTTCCATTTGCCTAAGCCCCCCGGAAAAATAGAAAAATAAATATGTCCAGTAGTGATAGATTCCCTTTAAAACCAGCAAGGTCAAAATATAAATAAACAAAATCTTAACCTAAATGGAAGAATAACCAAGCACATGTTCAACCAATGGCTCTTAAGCAAATGGATGGCTGCAACCAGCGGCTCCGAGTCAGACGCCTCCCTGCAGCATGGCCGCCATGTACGGCAGGCATCCGCTCTCCTGCGCCTTCGCAGCCTGGCGCGCCCCGCGCGCGTGCGTTGGAGGCCGAGGCGCCCGTTGGCGTCGGTTTTTTCCCCGTTGGAACAGGGATCCGGATGCATTAAAACACCTGAAGATTGTCTGGTAAAATGGTGGTGTCCCTGTATGTTGGTGGGAAAAGCCATGTTTCAGATGGGCAGCATGTATCTTTTGAGGAGCCCTGTGAAAGCATCAACCATCCTCCTTTAGGTGACCAACTACCTGTTGGGGTGGCTCGTTCTTGGAGGTGATACCGCTAATGGCCAGCAACCGTGGGGTTAAATCGGCCAGTCTCACTTGGCCACTTTTTTTTGCGGGTTTCAGCGGTTGCTAACCCCGCTCACTTCCGGCCAACTTTTCCAGATCTTCAATGGCCTGGAGAAAAAAGGCTGAACCCTTGCGGTTGATAGTGCTTCCAGCTACAACTCTAGTAACCAGGGTTTCTCACCTCTAAGTTTTACATGATGGTTCCCTTGGTTACCTTGCTATACTGGTAACTGGAAGCACTGGGCATGTTTTGTGGGGAAGCCACCAAAGAGAAAGGGATGAGATCCAGCCCCGGTCCCAAGACCTCTCCTACACCTTGCCGGGTTGGTCACGGGGGGAGTCGGGGAAAGAGAAGCTCAGTGGTACGTAGTTGCGTGGTCAAGATCAAGCCTGGTATTGAAATGGACCCAAAACCATATACAGAATTTGAATTCAGAGGGTGGACGCACCTAGATATGGTTGAGACTATCCCTTACTTGCCTTCATCTACCCCGCCTCAGCTTGGGCCTGAGCTTACCACTCATGGACAATCGGCCCTTTTCTGGTACGGAAGCGAACGGACCCGGTTGGGACCATTCCAGTTCCCACAAAATCCACTCGAAAACAACAATGGTTCACAAAACAGCAAAATAAGCGTAGCCCTACAACCAGCAACAAACAAAAGCAAGACAGCAATGGATGGTGAGGGTATAACCATGAGACGCGTGAGGACGGGTTTGGGATGGTTTGGGATAGCGAACAAAAAATAACTTGGAGGATGATCAAATGGTCGGGGAAAATTACGACAAAAAACGGTATTTCCCTCTGAATGGGGAAAGTTCCCCATGGTTCTGGGGGGCCAGGAATATTGATCAACCCCCACTTGCCCAGAGGACCTCAAAATACAAGGTGATCACCTTTAAAAGTGGTTGCCAAAATGGGAAAGCCAACAAAGGTCAAAAGGTCAAAGGCAAGTGAACAAATACTAACATGCTGCTATGATCATAACTGTTGCATTTGGAGCACCCCGCAACTCCATTAAAATTGTCTAGAGGTTAGGCCGCTCTATTGGAGGAAACAACCAGCCCCTAGTCTGGTTGGTGTGATATGGGTATGGATCTTAATAGGGAGGCTCCTCAAAGTGCTGATCATGAATCCCGCCGAAACTATATTCGTCCACCATTTCGGGCCCCAAACTACAAATCATGGCCTGTCTCAAGAAATCGGAACACCTAGTTGCGGGCTTTCCTTTTCTGGGTTCTCGGTTTCCTTTCGGCTTCCCTTTAAGAAATTTTAAGGCCACCCAACAAAGACACGGACGTCCAAGAGACGTCCAACGCGCCCACGTCCTGGCTACGAGGCTCCGCCTGGCGCGCCGTAAGCGCCTCACCGGCGCAAAGCGCCCCGCAGGCCTGAGCTTCGGCTCGGGGGGCTCGGGTGGCTCGGCGTCTTGGAGGTGCCCAGGCCTTGTGGAAATTCCGCGTGTTTTCGTGGCTTTGAAGGGAAACCACGAGGGAGCACCTCGCGTTTTGTGGCTGTTGAAGGGAAACCACACCGGGAAAACCACGCGTTTTGTGGTGCTCAAGAAGAAACACCAGAAAACCCGCACTTCTTGTGGCTTTTCAAGGGAAGGCACAAGGAAAACTGAAGCCACTTTGAGGTATAACCTTTGTCTTTCCGAAACCTAGACCCGACCCGAAACCTAGACACTATCAAAGAGGGGTATTGATCCAGGCTGAGCAGTCTATAAGTACCGGCCATAGTGTGGTAGATGCCCTTTGTCAACGGCACTTGAGCAGGAACTTCCGTACCGGACCCAATTGGCCTGAAGCTCTCTCAGAGAATGCATGCATTGTATACTGGCCCTAGTGCCTAGTGTGGTATATCCCTTCAAGACCAACGTGGGCACGTAATGAGAACCCCGGATGAACAAACCCTTGATTCATCCGTTACCTGGAGTCCCTGGAGGTCCTAGTGAGGTGTCCATCAAAATTGAAAATTGGGGGGTCGGCGGCTCCAAGAAGGATCTGTTTCATATTGGACGGAACCCGGGGTAGCCTGGCAAGGCTGGGGTTAACCTGGGGGGGAATAGAGGGGGGGAAACGACCATCTGAGATAGGGAGCCCTCCAAATGGGCTTCCGTCCAAGTAGCTTCCCTTTTAAACAAAACCAGGCGGTGCTTGAATCAACCGCAAAAGCCAACCAAACCACTGCATAACTAGACTCAACAACTTGGAACCCATCCACGGAAACGGAGCACCAAAGGTTTTCACGCAACCAGGTCAGGGTTTCAAGCAATTGAAACCCAACCCATGAGGTTCCAATACCGAGAGGTCGATTCGAGAGCTTTACGGCAGAACGATTCAGCTCACCAAGCCTCTAAACCCCATGACCCTACTCACTCTCTCCCAACTTTTCTGTATGCCGCTAGAGTGGTATTCCTGAAAAGTATATATATATATATAAAGTCCATGAACTCGAATTGTGCCCACAAGAGATTCACCTCCACAGTTCTTGACCGGCTCGGCCCAAGGTCCAAACATGTTGCTCACACTTCCCAAGATGTCCCGAGACTTTGGATCTGACCTCAAGTGTGAGCTTTGAGTCTTGCCGCTTTCCACCCGGTTGCTTGAGGCCCGAATAATGAACTTTGGGAGGGACGTCACCCTCATCTGGAGGCCTTCTAAACAGCTTGTTTTGGTGGGATTGGCCACGTCTCGAGGCCTTATTTTGGGGCGGTTGGCCTTATCTTGATCCATTTGCTTAGCGCTTAAGTCCAATCGAACAAATGAGAGCATGTGTGTAGTAGGCATAGATCCCCTTTCAAACCAACAGGGAAGAGTCAAACAACACATCTTCAGACTTACCCCAAGGAAAACCCCTGCTTCGCGGGGGAAATCAGCTTGGAAACTTAATGTTAAGGGGGGTTCATGACTTGCTTGGGGTGTGAACCAGCAAGTAAAGAACATTTAGACTGGCCAAGCAGAGTTGTTGGCTCTCAAATGTGAGGACACAACAAGGGCTTCGTCCTCCTTTCTTTGAGACACCTATTTAGAGACGCCCCCAGCTTGTGGGAGAAGGGGTCACTGGATTTCCCTCTCAAAAGCTGCATGGCATGTTACCGGTCGGTTGCAACGAACTTGCCACCCTAGGTCCAAAACAGGCGGCAAATTGAGGGACGCCACAACCACGGGGTCCTTTTTTCTCCTAGGTTTGTTTTGAGCCCCCATCTTGTTTGTTTTGGTTCGTTTGTGGGGCTGGGGGGTTGGGTGGGGGCACGGGTCCTCCCGAGCCCTGAGGCCTGACTGTCGAATCTCAGGTCCCGGCCGCCGCCGCCACCGCGGAGGCGTTCAAGGCCTGGGCCGCCTGCTGCTGGGTCTTCAGCACCTCGCACGAGACGAGTCGACGGGGCAGTCGCTGAGAGCGAGCGGACCGAGCGGTTGGAGGCGAGGGACGGGAGGCGAGGGGCGGGAAGCGAGCGGTTGGGTCAAGCCCTGGGTGGGGCGAAGCAAATGGGCAAGAAGTCACTGCCAGACTTATCTTGAGCATGTAATCAGCTCTCCTCTTGTTTTGAGCCCGGTGGCCGGTGGCGTGTTGGTTTTTCCGAGAAAGTCCCAGTTGCAAAGCCCCTTTTGGGGTGTGGCATGTCATTTTTGGACCCCAACACAAAGCAAAGGTGGTCCTGTTGGTTGCCTTTTAAACCCACACAAGAAGGAACGTTTTCCCGGGAAAAAACAACCTAGAGTAGGTAACCCTTCGCCGTTTTGGATGGATGGTGGGGGTTGTCAACCAAATTATATACTCTGTCCCTTCGCCAATTTTGACTGTTGGCTGTTTTTCAAAGTTTGTGTTAGGTTGCCTATTCCATTTGTTGAGGCATGGGTGGATCGTCCTTCTTGGAGCTGGTACCGCTTGTTGGGTGGTTTTGTCGGAAAACCAAAGGACACCGAAAGCCATTTTGGGGAGTCCCCTTAAACAAAACCACGCTCCTATAGTAGCTCACTTCCGATCGAGTGGATGAGCCGTAAAGGTAACCGAACTTGTTGCTTACCACTAAAATGGTCCAGGTGACCAAAGTGCAGGCACTGAGGGAGAAGCAGGGGAAGGCTAGTTAAACAGTCTGCCCCAATGGGGACCAAACTTGGACGCAAGCAGGGCCATCCTGACATTGCACTAATCTGCACATTCTACAATCATTCCAATACCTAAAACCTGAAATAAGGATCCCCAACACCGAAACCGTGGAATGGCTCGCCCCGAAACAGGCAGCATGCAACCCTAACGGAAGCTCTGAGCTAACATGTGGTCAGTTCAATCTGACCTCCTGGACTCCTCCACGGGGGCAAAGTGTGGTTGAAAAACCCGGAGCCGGCAGGGTATTGTGAAGCCCATCATTTCAGCCTGGGTCCGTCTAAGATTCTCTCTGAAATCCACTCCCAAACCGGATCATGGCGCCTTCACACAGGTGCTGGTGGCTATCCCAGTCACGGGGTTCAGGTTAGAGGAAACGAGCTTTGAAAAGGACATGTGGGAAACAGAAAGTCAAAAACAAACAGTTATGTATGTGTATATATATATATATATATATTATTTATAGAGTAGTCAAAAAGCCGCACATACTGCCATGGCCAGGCTCCTTTTCCAAGAAGTCTTCCAAATGGGGAAGATGTGCACGTCCATGTTTGGGAGGGCAAGAGGTGAGGAACAAAGTTGCTCCATATCCTTTCACCACGCAACCTTTTGTGAGCTTGATTAAACCTGGTCCAAAGTAAGATAGAAGCTTCGTGTTGACCGCAGCTTCATAAACTCGTCCCAATCTTGGGGTGGGGGCCCCTCAAAAATTGGTCTGAACCCCCACATTTCACGCCGATCAAAGGTCGGTTCCCTATGAGTCCCGTACACCCTCACAGGCTCTCGGCGTGCGCCCTCCCGGCTGCCTTGAGGCCAATGACGTGGGGAGCCTGGGCGGTGGGCACAGTCTGGGCCGAAACGAGGTTGTCACCTTTTGGGGAAACAACTCGATGCGTGCCACGAAAAAATATATGATGGGGAACGCAACGGAAACCAGTTTGGACCTAGAATGAAAGGTGATCGCCTATCGTGACCTTTGCTAAAAGTGGCTGCCAAAATGGGAAAACCCAAAGGTCGTTGGCTTTGGGCAAGTGAGTATGGGGAACCCAACTGAAACCAGAATCCATCCATGTTCAACCCGACTGATCCAACGACAGGATAGCTAGCTAGAAATCAACTGACTTCCGTGGAATCCATGTTCAACCAAGATGATCTCGAGGAACATGAAAAGTGCAGCTGAAACCAGTGGAATCAAAGTGATTTAAGGGGGCGTCCATCTTCTTCAATCGCTTCCTTTTAAATCACCATCAACTAGTTGTTAAACCCGCTTTTGGTCAGCTTCCCTCCAATTGGTGGTGCGGATTGGTGATTTGGTGGTGAAGCAGTGCTTTCCCATTTAGGTTCAATTCCCCAAACCACCAATTGGGGTGGGGGGGGGTAACCTGATTTGCCACTGCCGAGATCTCATCCTTCCCCGACCGCGCCTCTGGCCGCTCCGCAGCCAGCTTGTCGCGCACCGCATGAAGCAGCCTCGGATTCGCGAGACCCTGGACGAGAACCATGAAATGACTGGGCCAGACTTAGACCCCCAACAAACTGTGGTGATTGAACCTAAAGTGAAGGAAAAATCAGAAAGGCACAAAATGGAAAACAACTTATGGTAACTCTGGCAATGAACAAACCTCCAGAGGATTTCCACGGGGAAAAAGGGTCACCACATTCTTATGGGGCGCAATTAGGCCCAACTAGTTGCGGAGAAGCTTGGCCATTATGTCCCTTATATTACCCCCCGCCCCCTCACAACTCCAGTGGATTCCAATGGGAGAACAGGGCACCCTTTGTATTGGTAGCCGATTTGATAGGGACACACCACTAAGAGGACCAAGAAAAGCTTTCAGACCAAGGGGAAACAAGTGTATTCAACGCGAGTGCTGCCAGGGTTTTGTGGTTGGACAAAGCACCAAGTGCCTAAAATAGAAATTAGGACACTTCAACTTATCCCAAAACTTGACATGACATATCTCTACCCTGCAAGTTTCGCACGTGCAATGTGTTTAACGTTTTTTTTCCCGGAACTTGGGTTTGAACAATGAAACAGACTTAGAATTTTCGCGGGACACGCACATGTCCATTTCGCAGTGTTGCCCAGTGTTTCAAATCATTCCCCCAGAAAGGCAACCTTCGGGCATGGATCGATTCTGTTGGAGTAATGTCTGGAGAAGGTATGGGGAAGTCCTCGTAGAGACGTGAGTGGACAATTTCAGCCACCCACTGTGTTGGGACTGGCAAAAAGAAGGGGCAGCCAAGTGGTAAACAAATGGCATTTGCATTGGTTTGTCTTTTGGCCATCACAGTTGGTACTGGCGGATCAACCAAGTAAAGTAGGCTTAAACTGACACAGAATCCCCAAAAATATTCAGGTGAATAACACCCGGACTTAAACTGAAAATCCCAGTCCCAGTTACCACTATGATAGGTGCTCAGAAATGTTCCTAGCTTTTGACTGGCGGTTCCCGCATCTTTGAAAAGGGCACCCTCAAAAGAAGAAACCCCCCCCGGCACAGAAGAGCCACATAAAAACAAACAAAAAAAACACTATGGTTTGCCTCTTGCCCCACCAACCACGCTTCCATTGTTTGATTTCCTCCAAGTAGACCCGAAGTGCTTCATCTCCCAAGGATCCCGAGTTTCAGTCTCGGGAATTTTCAAACATCGCGTCGACACTCGATGACCCTTGCAGGGAACCCTTTTTGAGGTTGGCAAGTGAAGCCACTCAAATGGACGTGAGTCAAAAATGGGGTGACCCCAACATGAGCTGCCCTGGTAAATGGAACAGAAGTTGACTAAAAACCTGCGGTGATCTAGTGGTGACTAATTTTGACCCATACCAACACGGGATTGGAAATCGATTCCCTCCGACAAGGGAAACTACGTAAAGCAAATATTCAAACACGCAAATGGAAGGTTGCAAGACCTTCCAGCATTGAAATCGATTCCCTTTAGAACCAACAAGGACCAACAGCGACCTTCCAGTAGTCATAGATTCCCTTTCAAGTTTTCAAGCCAACAAGAGAAACATACGCACGTTTTTTCTGCTTCAATGGACAATTGTTTACTCGGTTGCTTTCTGCTCCCCTGCCTAAAGTTTAACTTTCAGTGCTTTGATGCAAAACCCAATAGTTGGCAACAAGTCCAAGTCCCAACATCCCTTGGCAAGCTGCACCAAAGCTTACCTGCGACCGTTCCCGTCACCTGCTTCCTGCGCCTCGAGGCCCGCGACGTCTCGACGTGCGAGTCTGAGCCAACCGGGCCATGCCGCGGTGGCCTTCTCCGGCACGTCGAGCTTCAGCTCGAAGGCCGACTCCACCCCGTCGCTGCCCTCGCCGACGAAATGGGCGAGGAGGAGGCGGCACGGGGCCCCCCCGAGAAAAAAAAGGGCGGCCTCGTGGTCGTATTGGTTTTGGGGGAAGGGCGTCCCTTTAACCCCAACCAACAAACAGGCCAAAAGGAACACCGGCCATTTTTTGGGAGGGGTCCCGGAAAAAAGAAAAATATGTTCCTCCCTGGGTTCTAAACATTCAAGAAGTATGATGGAAGTGTAGCAACTAAATTGCCTTCCACAAATGACAGCTGTTTTATCCTTTACGATTCTCTCGCTTCCTGAGCGGATTGGCCAAAGAAAACTAAACTCTCGGCTTGCCACGAATTCTCGTCTTCCCGCCCAAAAATAAAAATACATCCGGAGCTCAGGGGGTGAGATGGTCGGCCGAACAGATCACCCACCTGACACTCGAAGCGCCTCGAAGCGAGTCACCACCCGGGTGGTTTTCAGCGGCTCGCGCTTGGGCCGGCTCTTGTCCTGATGCGGAAGTCTGCATAGACCAGGCGCCAATATGCCGAACTAATTCGATTGGGGTTGTTGGGGACTTAGACACCAAATAAGCACATGGACATGGGGAACAATAATCAACAAAAAACAAAAAACAAGAATCCTGAGGAAGGTGGCGGTGGTGGTGGTGGGGATCCGGAGTCCAATAGTTTTGGGGATATGTTTTTTGCATGAGGGAAACCAAAGGAAACTGAAGGAAATCAACGCAAACAGGTGCTTTTTTCCCAATTTATATACTGGTTGACTTTGATCCAGGGGTGTCCCCTTTTCGTGGAAATCCTGAGGGCGGGTTTATTAATCCGCGGTCAACATGTTAGGGGGGATGTGCAAGAGTTACCAGTGGTCCCCACTAGGTTTGAGCACAGGCAACCAAGGGTTTTCCCACCGGAGGCAAACCAAAATCACTTCATGGCACGCCCAAAACCCCATTGCCTTCTGGTTCCAATACATCGTAGCACAGATAGGTAACTTGTACAGGGGTTGCTGGAAACCAAACATTCTAGGGTTTGATTCCCCATTCTGTTCAAGCATTCGGTCTTTACAACAAACCGGAGCCGGCTTTTCCCGGGGTTTCCGGAGGTTTTCTAGAAAGATCCGGATCCCTGGAAATGGAACTGGAAGGTACCCCGAGAATGGGACCCTTTTGGAATCGGCCAGTCCGGCGCTTTGCCATCTGAGGACCTGACGACCGAGCAACATCCGCTGTCCTCCTCCTCCTGCGGAGGAGAAGCGCGGCATATGGCCATGGGCAAGCCCGGCTACCCCCCAGTGAACATCCCAATCCCCACTAAAATAGGCTCCAAAATGGGTAGTGAATTCACCTATCCCAAAATGTTACCTTTGGTTTTGAAAATCGGGGAAAACCGACAGGTTCCCCAACCAACTCGTGCAACTTTTGGTGGGCCAAGCATGTGGAAATTGAGGCTGGGTTGGGGTTAGCATACGTTCCGTGCATTTGTCCGCACAGTAGAATTGAGCAGCGGAGGAAATTTGAGTTGTATCCCCGATAAGGGACATGAGTAGAAAGAGCGCAACAGTCTAATTCCTGAATCCTGTTGAGTTCGGGCTCCACCAAAATCGTGTTTCTGGGTTTATATAGTTTTATGTCCTTCAAAAAGACCCTCTTTTGGGTGTGATCGTGGCATTGCCTTCTCCCAGACCTGATCAAGGGCAAAGGGGCACCCTTGCTGGGAGTCTAAGCCAGGCGTGTCTTCCTTTGCAGGGCGGCTCCCTTGTCTTACCTACCCAGAACCACCCGGAGGGAAATACCAAGAACTTCTGAAACGCAAATAGAAGCTTACCTGCATAGTAGGCAAAGGAACCAACCAAAAGCTGTCTTAGGGTTGCCTCACTGGAGGCTTTTCCTGCGATCCCCTGCGCCTACTACACTACTTGGATGTTCAACCTAACATGGGTCTAGCTGGTGCAACTTGGGTGATCGAACCATGGTTGTAACCTACTTGGTTGAACATCCAACTAGCTTGTGTTAAGGAGTCTGAAAGAAGGGTTGCCTACCAATGGCATCCACTGGGCCTACCAATGGGATCACTGGGCCTATAGCTGGGAGGTTCGCCTGGGATGCACTGCCTTCACCCCTAGCGCTTTACCATCCTATATGCAAGTAAAAACACACACAGGGACACCCCCTAATCTACCGTAATTTGCCCTGGTTTTGTGCTCCCACCCGCCCGATCTGCAATTTGCCCCCCCCCAAAAAAATAAAGAAGATAGATAAATAATCATAATGGATAAGAGTAGAAATACTAACAATGCTAGAACTGCCGCAATGTGCCAGGGTGTTTGCCGTTGAGTGTTGCTTCATGCCTGCGCCGCACCCTCCGAACCCTCCGAACCCCGCATCTTCCGCGTCTTCCGCGTCCTCGTTGCCCCGGAGCCGCGCCAGCGCGGCCTCCGTGGCGGCGGACACGCTGCCAGCGGCCTGGCCCATGCCTCCGCCGCCGCTGAGGGGGGGGCTGACGGGCGGACAGCTCCCTGGGCGAAGCCGTGAAGCCGTGGGGGCTCCATGGAGACGAAGCCTCACGATGTTTCCCCTTAAGACATCACCACCAAAGGAAACTCATGCAGAATGGGCCAAATTTCGGCGCTGTTGTTTTTGTTGATGAGTTGTAAGGAAAACCTGTTTTTGGTTGGTTGAGTCGCAAGGATGTTTGTTGTTTCCTCTTAAAACATCAGCCCCACAGGAAACTCATGCCAAACGGTGATGTTCAACACCAAGGGAAATACAGGGAGGCCTGTGGAAAGCTTCGGCGCCTTGGTGCTGGTTGAGTTGCAAGGGCAACCTACCCCCTCCAAAGATATAAATTTCAATAGGAGTTGCACACACTGGAGGTTTGAGGGGCTTAGGGCTTTGGCCCACACCCGTTCACTTAAAGTCGAGAAACCAACAAACAAAACAGCTAGTCGAGAGTATGGGTATGCGGTCTTTCTGGGTAACTTATCTGGGTCCGCATAACCACAACAAAAAATGAAAGGGGACACCTATGTTCTTGAAGCGAATTCTGAGAGTGGTAAAATAACTTTCACCGTGTCCCTAGCGGTGGATAGGTCGGAGACAAATGGGTGTCCTTATTGAATCAGCGATTCTATTTCCCTATGGTTAACCAAGGGACCCTTCAAAGACCAAAGGAATATGGGCCTGCTACATGGGCGTGTCTGTTGCTTGAGCTCGGTACCCTCTTTTGCGCTGTTGTTTTGCAAGAAAACCATGAGCCTCAGCAATTTTGAGGATGTCACTTGCACACTTGAGTGAGGCTCATCAGCTAACTGCGGGGGTATGTGTGCATGGTATCGCAAAGCGACGAACCTCTTTTCAACACGGGTATGTGACATGTGTCATTCTAAATTTTGTTGCACCCCAAAAAATGGGTGGCGCCGGCCCTGAAAAAACACAACCCCACGCGATCTGTTTCCTTTGTTCTTTGTCAAAGCGGACCGCCGTGAAATGCTGTGCTTCCCGTAAAACGCCAACCAAGATGACCAGCATGCTCACCATCTTGAGAACCAGCCGAATCCGACATGAGTTGGACGGGACCACATGCTCGGTTTCCCCCTTGCTGTCCCAGACCAACCTGAAAGAAGATGCATTCTCCGCTTGAGTCGGACAACATGTAGCGGCCTGAACAATTTGCACACGGCCTTGTCCTATAATAATGAGGACATTTGCTTCATTATGATTCATAGTACCCCGCAGCCCGATTCTATTGTAGAAGGTCAGCCCCTCTCCCCTGCAAATTATCGAAAAGAACCCAAAAAGAGCGTCCATTTCCAAAAAGGCGATTCCTGTTGAGAAATGGGCGGGTTTTTGGGGTTCCCACTTAGATGGAACCTGACTGGGGAATTTTGGAACACAATTTTCCTCTGAATGAGACCCTCTGGTAGGTTCCATGTTGGCGGACGCGAGCCCTCCTAATTTCCAGCCCACCCCGCCTGCCAGGCCGATTCCAAATCGGGAGGTTTCGTCGAGAGACAACGCCCTCTGGGGCGTGTGGGTGCCTTTGAGCGAGTCTTTTGCTGGTACGCTGTATGCGTATGATTTTCTTTTTGGAGGGTGTGCCGAGTACAACTCATAGCCATGTGTTTGTTGGGATGAACGACTGTCTCGTTTCGCGTTTCAATTCTTTTTGCTTGGAGCACCTCCGTACCCTGTCTGCTTCCGATTGCCAGTCTCTAAACTGTCTAAACTGTCTCAACTCCCAACCAGATTGCTGACTCCCCAGAACACAGCGGAGGACAGGCAGAAAGAAACCATTTGTTTTTGTTTTGTCCAACTGTTGCAGCTAGACTATGGATGTTTAAGGCCGGACGCACCGGGTACAACGGGAACCAAAGAATCGCGTCTCGTGGTCTTTGGCTCATTTCCAGTCTCGAGCCAAAGGATCGGCGACCTGTCGCTGGCCAGACTGCTAGCTGTCCAATGGGAGGCATGTGGGGGATGTGAGAAAATAGCGGTTCCGCACAGAAAAACAAAGGTTGGTTCCACTTGGTTGCCCTTTGAAACAACCTCAAAAAATGGTAGCCTACAAAACACAGATGTTGAGTCACATCAGTGTAAATGGCAGTAATTCACCAACGTGGAACAAGGGCCACCCACAAGGAAAATGCAGCTAAGAAGAAACAAGCCAACATCCCACTTGCACAGTGACCCTGGTCGAACACGTGAATTTCGGGTTGACCATGTTTACTTGGATGTTTAACCAACTTAGTACAAAGGTTACTCCATCATGTCATGAGTGTAACTCCGGTAACCGGGTTGAGCGTCCCCTTATAACCATGGTTGTAACCTACTTACCTGACGTGGGTTGAACTGAGGAGCCCACCAAACAAGAAGGGGAACACCACTGAACAACTAGCTACGCCCATCCACGAGATGAAAACGTCCGTCCACGGGCGGAATCCTCCTTTCCTTCACGCGAGACTCTCCACTTAGTCTAGCGGGCTTTCTCGGCATCTCCCTTTTTGGCGGGCGAGGTGCGGGGGAGCAATCCCCAGCCAGAGCTTTGAGGTGCCATGATGAGGCAATGAAGGTTCAAGCAGCCCAGACCGCTTGGCTTGTTTTGTTTGCCCTGGAAGACTGGGAGAGACACCGAACGCCCATCGTGTGGCTCTTCCATGCGACCACAACGCTATGAACTTGCGTGGGACTATGGGGCTGTTGCACAGGAAGGGCGCTCAGCTACTGTCCGTGCTTTCTCAGCATGAGCGAGGCGGAAGCCGGTGCTCCTGCGAGATGCAAAGTGCCGAAATTGGAACAATCACCGCTTCTGCGTCTACGATGGTGTCCACTAAGGTTGACCCCAGATTAATCAACCCGTCCTATTACTATATGGGTGTTGCCCTCCAAAAGTGATATTACCCCACTAAAAGGGGATACCCCCTGTTCATCAACCAGGGGTCTACTACTCCAGGCTTATTCCCATTCTCTCCTTTCCAAAGGTCAAGTTTGGCATCACAGAAAGTGGCCCTCCCCAGCTTTCCACACACGGAAGTAGGTCATCGCTGGTGAGGTGAAAAGTGGTGATTCGAGTCAATGGCTTCAGTTGGCCACATGCACAAACGGCCCACTGGGTGGGCCTAGCTGGATTGTAAAAATATGAGCAAGTGACTTTCAGCCGCACACCCATCTGACACCGATTTGGCGGGGTCCAACTAGGTCCACGTTCAATCGCACATTAAACATGCACCCCACAAGTAGTCATAGGGGTGGCTTCTGAGGATATAGCTCTGGTCAAGATTGGTGAGTATAAACCTGTCAGTCCACCATGGAACCCACCAAAGGGTCCCTGGTAAAGGAACATAGCCCAAACCAGAACCCCTCAGTCAGGTTTCGTGTTATTTGGTGGGTGTGCCCGACGTCATCCCCGTAGGCTCCTGAGATTGCAGTCAATACTGAACGTTGCTTAAATATGATTACCTCGCAGGGTTTCCACAAAGGAACGAGGCACCTCAAGGCTAAGCTCGCATACTCATCTTGGACATGGGCAAAACGCCTCAAGGTATGCCCCAACGAAGCTCCTTCTAGTTTTAAAGCGGTGCCTTCTTGCCGCAAATTCCAAAAAATCAGCAGGCCATTCCTTACTTGCAGGGCACTAGGGAATCGACCTGTATTTTTGAATGGACCAGTGTATGTATTCCGTTGGCGGCAAAAACACCACGGATGCAGTTTGGGGTCATTCCCGTCCTCAGGCCAGCTCGTTGAAAATCATGGTCACTCCCTCGGGAATTTCCTCGCCGGGTCGACTTTGGGCGGGCCGATTCGGGCCCGGCCGGCTGAAACCAAGTTCGGTGGTTTGGACATGTCCCAGGATGGTTTTCCCGCCCCACAAGAAACAGGCTCAAGTCCAAACCAAAGGACTGGTTGCCCATGTACCCACAAAAAGCAAGGTTCAAGTCAAACCCAAACCCCTCCCAAAACCACCAAACAGTACCTGGAACTACAAAGTCAACCAAACCCATATGGGCTCGTCTTTTGAGGCTCGGCTTTCATTTTGGGGGCCCTGGAACCAAAGGCGAAGCAAACCACTTTTGAGCCGGGCTCTCTTTGAGGCTTTGAGGCACACCCATCACCAAATGGTTTTCTTGGGACCAACAAATGCTGGTTGGGAAGCCCACACTGCGGACAGGTCGATCACTTGCAGATTGATGGGAGGCATCCCCAAAGTTCGATCAACATTCAAGGTCCCAGAAGCTCTGTTCGTTCTTTGAAGGAGGGAATTGGGATTTCTATATTGGCTTTTCAACCAACCTTGCAAAGGGAAGCCTCAAAGAATCTTTCAAATGCAGCCTGAGATCCTTGTGGCCAGTGATTTCGGTTGCGTTGCCAGAATTATAGCCAACCACACCTATCTGGATTCGTTCGCCGATCTAAAATTAGATAAATGTGCTAAATAGGGACCCCAAAAAAGCTGGTTTCCCAGTTGACTTCCCTGAAAAAAACCTCTGACAGGGCCCCCCTCAAGCTCAAATGGACTGTAAGAACGGAATTTTACAACACGTGTTTGTTTGTAGGGAGGGTGATTCCGGGGGTGTGAAAAATGAAAACAGAGGGGCGGGGGATGAACATAACCCAATTTTTGATCAGGCTTGCAGACTTCGGTGCACGCCCACCTTGCGATCTCGCACACATTCTGCAATGGTGACTGCGGTGTCGACATCAATTTCCTGGCACAATGCAGCTCGACTCATAGGCTTGAATTGGCCTAAAGTGCTAGGAAAATGCAAGGGCGAGCCGCTTTGCTACCACAAACCGAAGCACATATTGTGTCTCAAAATAAGAGGGACCCCAAAATGATAGATGTTCTTTCGGCTTCCCTTTAAGCAAGTCGTGCCACACCCCGGGGTGCACCCAAATAGCCCGTATAAACTCACTTCCCTGCTAAACTCAAGTAAAGGAACCGGGTCAAAATGACTCACTTGCTCCAAAGGACAAGA